CTGTAATCCTTCCAGGAAAGTGATTGTGGTTTTACTAAGATTTTTGTTACCTTGGCCATATTAAGACGTGTCTTGGTGTTCACTGGGATCCTGGAGAGGGCAGCAGTGCAGGTGGGGCGATGGATGGATGTGAGATGGATGTGCAGTGTGGAGTCCCGCAGACAAAAGGATGCATGAGGAAACCGCTATCGAGAACAGGGTATTTCCTTTGGAAGGGATCTCCAAAGACAGACTTCTGGTCTGCCTGACCTCTTTGTGGCAAACCAGAACCCAAAGCCCATCACTGAGGGCATTGTCCAAACCATCGTCCCACAGATATTTGTGGTGAATATTGGGAGGCACTGAGCACATCTGCCTCACCCAAACCCGATGCTACATTGCCCTGAGGAGAGCTGCAGGAACTGCTGTCCTTTATCCCCACAGAGGCCCTATCCATGACTGCTGTGATCTGCTCCCTCTGCCCCACACTGAGCCCCGTCGGTGTTCTGCTGCTCAGGATGGCACAGGATGCTCCTTTGCATTCCTGGTTGCTGCTTCCAAACTCCTTAGCCCCAGTTTACACGTCCAGATTGTAGCCTCTCAGCTATAGCATGAAAAAACAAATCCCTGCTCGCTGAAAGATGCCTTATGTTCCTTGGCATCAACTCAGGTGTACGTGGTATCGATACAACACCCAGAAATCACAGCCACCCCATAAGTGTCTCTCTAAATGCCTTCGTTTCTGCCAGTTCTTCTTCAGATTCACAATGGATTCTTCAATCCAGCTTGGTATGTTCCTTGGTTCCCTGAGGAGGGTAAGGCAACGCCCCTGGGAGCACATGGGAACAGCTCCACCAGCACCAGTGGCAGAACTGGGTTTGATTTTGGTAGCAGTGGGTCTTAGGAAAGGAGGAGGTAGTGCCTATCCCAGCTGGGAAATTAGCAAAATGCCTTCTCAGCCTTCAGTGCCATTGTGGGGGAAAAATGAGGAAAACACCAGGATTTAGACTATTGCTAACCTGGAGAGAAGTGTGGTGAGAAGGTCTGGCTCTGTTCTGAGTGCTCAGAGGGACCCTCCATCTCTGTTTTTCTGCATATAGGTCTGAAACCATGCCCGTATCTCCCCTCTAAGGACCAGCACGATCCATGTGGTGAGAGATAAAAGGTGGTTCTAAGCAAAGGAGGTTCGGTTTAGGGCTGGCAGAAGAGCAAGCTGTGAAATGGAGGAGTCCCTGCTGATGGTTCACACTTATTGAAGGAAATTTCCAAAGCCCCAGCTTATCCTGACTGCTTAAGGACTACTTCGAAGTGTTGCTGTGAGCACAGGTCTGTCACGTAGGGGCTGCTTTGGGCTGTGCTAATGTTGCAGCATTGCAGGGGGAATAGGAGGAGAACCAGCCTGGCTCTGACTGAGGTCTGCTGACACTCACAGAGGTTGCAGGCAGATCTAAAGGTGACAGAGAAATCATTGCAAGGATTCAAGACCTGCTTGAGCTGGGAAAAGTAAAAAGCAATGCAACAGCTGGACCTGCAGCAATCCTGCTCTGCAGTCTCTTGGGCCAGGAGTGAAATTTGCTTGCAGAGATAAGCTGGAAGCAACAGCCTCCCCGAAGCCAATGCTGTGTGTGAGCATATGCAATTAGCTCTCTGCTTTGCAATTCCTATGACATCGCACACTTTGGTGCCCAGCAGTTTCACCTTGCCATCTGCAGAGGGGCCAAGGCAGAGTTCAGAGCCAACAAACACTGCAGTTTCTCTTCTATCCTGTATGTTCCTGACATTACAGAGGCCTTCCAGGGCTGGGGGAGGGATGCCCTGCCTGGGTGTCTGTCTGTCCTTGAGCAGTGTTTCTCTCAGAGGAGCAGAGCACTAAGGAGCTCCTTGGTTTACCCAATTCTGTGTGCATGTAGGAGGATTTTACACCCTCCTGGTTTTAGAGCTTTCTGGGCAATGCCATTTCCTCTTGCATTGGGCAGAGATCAGAAAGCCTCTTGTGTTGGATGAATGCTGAGATCCCACTGGATTTCACTGGAAAAAGCAATTAAATATGGTAATGTGGGGGACTTGAGAGAACAACCTTTGCCCATTAGATAGGGTGAATTCAGAAGAAAAAAATTGATCTGAGACCACTGTAAGATGCCTCAGCACCAGTGGGTTCCAGTGTTGACAGGGTTCCTGGCAGCACCAGGGCTGGGGTTAAAGCAAATGTCAGCAGAAACCTTGCTTCAGCAGATCTACTGCTGTGCTTTCTGATCAGCTGGGTGCTGTTGCAGTGTTATGGTACAGGACAGAGCTCTCTGCATGGATGACCCATTGCCAGCCGATCAGCTCAGAGCAGTGCCATCTTCTTGCTCTGTTCTGGTTCTGGCTTTGCACACACACACAAAGCAGCTTCACTCAGTGACCTGAGGGGTCGTTTCCCTGGGATCAACCCCTTTCCCTCTTGGAAAGGACACACACAGGAATTCTGGGCCTGGCTCTCACGCGGCCATTTGCTGGGCTCATGTGCACAACCCACGTCACAGCGCCTGCCCTCCGAACCCTCCTGACATGCCTTTCCCTTCCCACCCTCCTGCATGGCCCCATTTCTCAGCCCTACAGAGACCTCAGGGAGAAGTGCTCAGCAGCAGAGCTGTCCTATGTGGGAAGAGGTCTGGGGGCTCCAACAGCTGCTCGGGGTTTGAGTCCCCTCAGCAGATGTTTGCTATTCCAGCCACTTCATTAATGTTGGAAACAAAACCCCTGATTATTCCTGACCAAAGCACCCCCTTTTTGATTGACAGCCAGTGTGTGTTTCATATGATATAATCCACGGTATTGCTCTGGCCACTTAAAAAAAAAAAAAAAAAAAAAAAAAAAAAAAAAAAAAAAAA